ATATATATATATATATATGCTTCTCTAAATGCGTCTTTTATTTTTTTGTAGCCCTAATGCAAACCACGCTACTCGGTACATGAATCTCCCGTTAAGGGAAAGAAAAAATGATTGTTAAAAATGTTATAATCCTTGCTATAAATGACTAAGATTTATTTTGGGGAATCATAAACGTCTTTTATAATAATAGTAAGATTATAATTGGTATATATATATATATATATATATATATTTGTACACGTGCATTTTATTTGCAGCTCTAATGCAAACAACGTTACTCGGTACATGAATCTCCCGTTAAGGGAAAGAAAAAATGATTCTGAAAAATGTTCTAATTCTTGCTATAAATGGCTAAGATTTATTTGGAGAATTCATAAACGTCTTTAAATTAATAGTAAGATAATAATAGATTTATATATATATAAAATGTTGAATAATTTTTCCAATGGTGGCGGCTGAGGTAGGTGCTCTGCTAGGGTTTCTCCTGGGAAGATGACTCTTTGGAGCAGCTGTGATTGGTGGCTAGTGGTGGAGAAGCTCCTTTGGTCTTTGCCTGGTGGCCCTCTCTCTGGGCTATTGATTTGGTTTGTGTTTGCTACTTCTTGGGCTCTTCAATTTTTAAAAAGGCTTGGTTACTATTCTATTGCCAGTTTGAGCTTCGGTGGGGGCAGTTAATCTTGTCATACTTTTTAGTTTTTTTTTCTAATTATTTCTCTGGCAGACCATACACCTATTGATGTAGTCACTAATACGCAATGGGTCGAAGCCACCTATGCGGGTGTGGTGGGCAAAGGGCAAGAAACCAGTCAAAATGTTCACCTGTTGGTTTTCCCTCAGGCTTTTCATGATGTGGCATTGAGTAAAGAAGTTTGTTCTCTCATCAACCCCCTGAGTGTTCAAGATGGCAAACATGTTATTTACTACAAGGAGGAAGATCTTAATACACTTAAGGCAGATTTCAAATTCATTTTGATTGGAAAATTCTCACTTGGTCATCCCAAGATGGAGATTGTGAGAAACTTTTTTGAGGGATTTCCCTTCACAAGGGCTTGGAAGGTGGGGCTTGTTGATGACCATCATATTATGATTAAACTAGCACTTAGGAGGACTATGCAAGATTGTAAGTTGTTCAAATGGAAAGGGCTGTGTCGGCACTAAAAAGGTTGTTGGGCGGTTATGGAGTTGTTGGTTGCCAGGCCCAACACCCGTTTTAATTTAATTTAATATATAATTTGGAAAAATAGTATTTTGGATCTTTGAAAATACAAGACCGGACTGATCTCATATCTCCAGTAGTTTAAATAAATGAGCATAATACCACAAATAATGTATTCATCCCAAAGGATAAACATACTACTTACTGCTAAGGCTCGATTAAATAAACTAAAGATTGTATGACATCCGTTAAGTCTGCAAAACCATTTTTACTATAAGCCGACAAGTTCCCCTATTTAATACAAAAAATTAAATAGAGTTTATTTTAAGTTGGGTTCAGAAATTCTTCCTATAAGGGCAAGCCCCTATAGTTAATTACATCTTAGATAACCAAAGTCACTTAAGAAAACTCTTGATAAAAATCAGAGAATATTATCTTCAAAGAGTTCAAAGGATAATGACTTTTCAACAAGATCGGACAGAGAGCTGTGAAAGGGGAATGACTCAAATTTGGAACATTTATTTTGGAATCCAAAAGGAGAGATGCTAGGGGATGTCATGGATCCGGAGGAGAACCCCAGTGACTTCCCAAAACTATCCTACTTTTTAGCTTCAATTTTAGAGAGAAATTATTTAATGTTTCATCCTGCAAGTTTTATTAATTAGGTCTTATATTTGTGTAAAACGATCACACAAATAGCTTAGAAGATGTGAGCATTTAAGTCTTGACGAACGACAACCTCAGAATCCTAAGGCGAGTTATGATTTATATTGTATAGCAGAATCATACAAAGGCCTAAAGATAAGTTGAGGATTTATGTTGCATAAGCAAACAGCCTCGAAGTCCTATGGATTGTTGTTTAATTCTAATAAATGGTTTAGTTGGTGAAGACATGTTTTATTGTTGAAGATGGTTGTGCTGCCCACGATGCTAGCTTTAAGCTTCTTGTCATAGCAAGTTTAAGTTTTCTAATGTGTTAAGTCATGATTTCAAATCAAATGTTCCTAAGGGTCATGGTTGTTTAAATATTATGAGGCATATTAAAGTTGATTAGAGCGACACCGGTTAGGATCCTACGCTTTCCTCGTTCCGGTACCACTATTTTCTTTCAGATTCACTTAGTCCAAATGAATTTACTAAACTCAACTTAATGAGTTCAATACTTTCATTTGAATCGTGAGAAATGTAAAGCCTCGTTAGCAACCGTAGGTTACCTCCTTCGAAGGGTTCCTGATCATCTGATAGAGACATTTTAATTTAGTTGCAATTGTCGTTTTGTGTGGTGTCTTGGGTTTATATGATTAAATTTTGAGTTGTCTTATATTTTGAATGTTGTGGCGGTGAATTTTATCTTGTTTAATTTTTAAAATTTTGCTTTTATTTTAGTTCTGTGGCTATCCTAAAAGATTTAGTTTTAACATGCAGGGTGATATCGTTGTTTAACATGCAAGTTCATGAGCAGAAAAATTACAATAAAGAAAGTGCAGGAGAAGAAGGTAATGTAAACTTCAAAAGCATATACGTCGAGTCTTCTCATTCCTCCACCTGAAATTTCAGTACTTGCAAGGCATATATATAATTTTGTAGAAATTAAAACATGCGTATAAAAAAAGTAGGAAGTACAAGTTTAAGGTGTATCTACCAAATCCTATGTCATATCTTAATGGGTCATATTCATTTAAATGTATAAAAGATTTCTCAAGCAAGGCATAATGATTTTAATCATACTTTAAGATATCTAAAAAAGTATGAGAAAGGTTCAGGGAACAGGCCCCAAGCATCTCACAATCACTTGAAAAGTTTCAAGTTTGTTCAAACTCATTATGCTGCTTAATAACTCATCCCTATTATGCATTTATGCTCAATGAACTGATATTCTAGCCAACCCTAAGGATGGGGTAATTATCACTTAATATTTTATTTATAAATTATATAGGTAAAGGCCCTTAGGGGAAATTTGGTCTAATTAGCATTTTAATTTTAAAGATGGGCTTGTAGTGTTTTAAACATTTTTAAATTAGTTATAGGTTATTTTCTAAACCTCATTTAATCAAAATTTTGATTAAGCC